GGCACCTGGATGGATCTGGGCGTGCCAGAGGGAGGGCAGGAGGATGAGCTGCGGGCCGTGAGTGCACCTGGCGCACCTGGGCACACCTGGGATACACCTGGGCACACCTGGGGGCACACCTGAGATACACCTGGCACACCTGGGCACACCTGGGGGCACACCTGGGTACCTGAAATACACTTGAGAGGGTTAAAAACACACCTGGGCACACCTGGGGGGGGATAGGATCACACCTGGGCACAGCTGAGATACACCTGACACACCTGGGCACACCTGGGTACCTGAAATACACCTGAGAGGTTTAGAAACACACCTGGGCACACCTGGGGGTGGATAGGATCACACCTGGGCACACCTGAGATACACCTGGGCACACCTGGGTCCCTGAAATACACCTGAGAGGGTTAAAAACACACCTGGGGGTGGATAGGATCACACCTGGGCACACCTGGGATACACCTGGGCACACCTGGGGGCACACCTGGGATACACCTGGCACACCTGGGCACAACTGGGGGCACAACTAGGTACCTGAAATACACCTGAGAGGGTTAAAAACACACCTGGGCACACCTGGGGGTGGATAGGATCACACCTGGGCACAGCTGAGATACACCTGGCACACCTGGGCACACCTGGGGGGGGATAGAATCACACCTGGGCATTTACCTGGCCACATTTCGGGGCACCTGTGGGGGAAACGCACACCTGGGGACATGCCCCGATAGGCCACGCCCACCTGGGGGACACACCCATCCAGGCCACGCCCCTTTGGCCACACCCAGAGGGGTTTTATGGCCACGCCCACCTGGGAGGGGCTGGGTGAGGCCACGCCCCCAGGTGGGCGTGGCTCAGCGCCGCCCCGCCCCCAGGTACCTGCTGGACGGCCCCGCCTCCTCCAGCAGCGAGGGGGAGGGGCCAGAGGAAGCCCCGCCCCCCGCCCAGGACAGGAAAGGGGCGGGGCCGGCGCACCTGGACACACCTGGGACCACGCCCCCCGAGTCAGCTGACAGCGACGGCCAATCAGAAGAGTGAGTCCGGGCTGAGGGGCGGGGCCACGCGGGGAGTGGGTGTGGCCATTCCTGCGGTGGGCGGGGCCACACGGGGGCGTGGCCTCACCTGAATGGGGCGTGACCACACATTGAGTGGGCGTGGCCTCACCTGAATGGGGCGTGGCCTCACCTGAAGCATTGGGGTCACACCTGAGGTGGGCGTGGCCTCACCTGAAGCATTGGGGTCACACCTGAGGTGGGCGTGGCCTCACCTGGAACATTTTGGGTCACACCTGAGGTGGGCCTGGCCACACCTGAAGCATTGGGGTCACACCTGAGATGGGCGTGGCCTCACCTGAGGTGGGCGTGGCCTCACCTGAATAATTCCGGGGTCACACCTGAGGTGGGCGTGGCCTCACCTGAATAATTCGGGGTCACACCTGAGGTGGGCGTGGCCTCACCTGAATCATTTGGGGTCACACCTGAGGTGGGCGTGGCCTCACCTGAGGTGGGCGTGGCCCCACCCGAGGTGGGCGTGGCCTCACCTGTCCCCTCCCCCAGCTCGGACCCCTACGG